GCCCCTGACCACATATTGGAGAGGCTTTGGGAAACCTTATCTCTCTCTCGCTCTCGCTCTCTCTCTCACATATATCAATCTATTCTATCTATTTATCTACCTACCTTCTTCTCTGGCTCTCTCGTTTCTCCATGGCCGCCCCCATCTCATCCTTCCTTCTTTCTCCTCCCCTCTGATCCCCCACCCATCACGACCCACCCATCGACCCACTCACATATCTCAACCCACCTCAACCCACTCACACACCTCAACCCACCTCCCCACCCCTCGACCCACTCACATATCTCAACCCACCTCGACCCCTCACACACCTCCACCCACCTCCCTCCCCACCACCCTCGACCCCTCACCCACCTGTGTCACGGAAACCGATCACCGCCCACTAACAGTCACATATTAACACCGTCACCGCAGCCCGTTTCCTTCCCCCCCCCACCCAACCCACCTCGTCCCCCCCTACCACCACGCCCCCCCCTCCCATTGCGTAATACCCGCATACACACGACTCTAAGCAACACGACTTCTACCACAGACGTCGTTCTTTGCGGCCGTCGCCTCGTCTCCGCGAACAGCATCTTGTGCTCGAGACCGATTGTCGCGTCGAACTAAATAAATAAATAAATAAAGATAATAAAAAGACGAGAAAAGGTCAAAACACGTAATCATTTGATAATTCGTTGATGATCAGTCTGTTAGGATGAATGATGAATAAAACGAAATGTATTGTTAATGTAACAAACCTGTGAGAATACTCGTCGAACAATATGAATAAAGTAGCAAAATAATCAATTGTCAAATAACAACAATAATCAATAACAATATATAAAACAAAAAAAAAAACACAACAACAACAATACTATTACTATACAACAACAATAATAATTATAAAACAAACAACAACAAAAATGATAATAATAATGAATGATAATAATAAACATATTCCCCGCCACACTTCTCAATCAATGGAATATATCATAAATACATATACATAATACATGCACAACAGACAGACACGCAACCACAATTAACCATCTGCCTCCCTCCTCCCTTCCCATATCTCACCTCCATCAACAATTTGAAACTTCTCTTACCTCCCCTCCCTTCCCCAACTTCCTTCCCCCTCCCCCCTTAAAAATAAACTCCGAGAAAACCCCTCTCTCTCTCTCTCTCTCTCTCTCTCTCTCTCTCTCTCTCTCTCTCCTCTCTCTCTCTCTCTCTCCTCTCTCTCTCTCTCTCTCTCTCTCTCTCTCTCTCTTACCCATACTACCCCTCCCTCTCCCCTCTACCCACCCAACACCTACCCCCTCCCTTTACCCCCCCCCCCAAAAACCCCTCCCCCACCTCCCCTCCCCCTCCCCCCCTCCTCCCTCCCACCCGGCTTACCTGCCATTCTTTGCTGGTGGCTTTGGTAATTGCAGAGCTGAAGCCCCAACAGACAGATGACGACCAACTGCATGTTTCACAAGCGACTGAGTGACACCGGGCGAGCCAAGCCACACCAAGCCAACGCGGCGGGCGGGCGGCGGGCGGGCGGCGGGCGGGAGGAGGGAGAGAAGCGGGGGGGGGGAGGAGGAGGGCAAGAGATGAGAGATGAGAGAGAATGTGAGAAGAGAGAGATGAGAGATGAGAGAGAGAGATAGAGAGGAGAGAGAGAGAGAGAGAAGAGAGAGAGGAGAGAGAAGAGAGAGAGAGAGAGAGAAGAGAGAGAGAGAGAGAGAAGAGGAGAGAGAGAGAGAGAGAGAGAGAGAGAGAGAGAGAGAGAGAGAGAGAGAGAGAGAGAGAGAGAGAGAAGGAGAGAGAGAGAGGAGATTGAGAGAGAGAAAAAGAGAGAAGAGAGGAGGAGAGAGAGAGAGAGAGAGAGAGAGAGAGAGAGAGAGAGAGAGAGAGAGAGAAGAGAGAGAGGAGAGAGGGAGAGAGAGAGAGAGAGAGAGAGAGAGAGAGAGAGAGAGAGAGAGGAGAGAGAAAGAGAGAGATAGAGAGAGAGAGAGAGAGAGAGAGAGAGAGAGAGAGAGGAGAGAGAGAGAGAGAGAGAGAGAGAGAGAGAGAGAGAGATAAAGAAAGAAAGAGAGAGAGAATGAGAAAGAGAGGGTGAGGACGACATTTGAAACATGGAACCACATCCCCTGACTGGCGGAAGCCATAAGTCGAGAAGAGACTCACTTCGAATGTATCTCCGTGCCTGCGAGAGGGTGCGGTCAGGACACCAGGAGCGGATCAGAAGAAGTTGGCGGAACATATCGAGGTTGCGAGAGTATCCGCAAGGTAGTTCTTCCTGTGGGACATGATATTAGGAGTCAGTTCATGCCCCTCGAATATCTCTTCGCGGGCGGAACAACCTCGGGCCTTCCGTGGCTGGCGTTGCAGTCATTAGCTCGTACTGAGGGCATTCTTTATTCTAATTCACCATTTGTTTATCTTCCTCTCTTACTTTTATTAATCGAGTAAGTTACTTTTACTTATATTAACTGAACATTTTGGCTGAATCATGTGATAAGTATATTTTCGTCTTAATATGCGTTTTGGAATCTTACAGTGGTTGTGTAGCCAGTCTGCGAACCATCCGAGTAGCTCTGAAGGGAAAGGATACTTCATTTACAAAACGAGGTCACAAAAATCACTTTCAAAAATAGCCATTACAGGCTCAAAAATACGAAGGAGCAAAGTACAAAAACATGCAGTAACTGCCATAAAAGGGAGCAGCATCCAAAAAGGGTTTGGTCTTGTGAGCGTCGACGGTCAACGGGCATTCAACCGGTCAGCCAAATGACGTGTAGAAGAAAAAGAGAAAAGATTGAAAAAGGAGGAGGAAAACGCTCGCAAAATAGCTGAACGTTTACAGATTCAGTGCGCATTCATGAAAAATCCAAAACATGCAACGAGCGAAAAATATCGTCTTGCTTACCCAGCATGAAAATCAAGAGAGAGAAGAAATATATGAAAATGCACAGTTCGCGCCATGCTCATTTTGTACACAGTACTAAAGAAGGCTACAAAGTATGAAATTAGCAGTGCTCTTGGAAGAAAGTGTGCACACATATGTATAGCTGAGAGTCACAACTAAATATTCTGAAAGCCGTTTTGGGGGGAATAAAACTGTTCACAGTACATTTATAAGTGCCAAAGGATGTAAACAGCCAACCATGGATGTACATTCTCGCTGAATTACTTACTGTCTACTCATTACTGTCAATTTAATCAGTCTTTAAGATTGCATACTACAGAGCGATTAAGTAATATTCATGGTAAATATGATTTGATTCTGATTAACATATATGTCACTTCAAGTATATGTCATTACATCATGATATCTCATCCCTCTTATTTTTTAGATGTCTATATCAAAACGGATACTAATCACACAATCTTACAATATCCTATAGTTTAATGTGACCCCTTGGATTCCCCACAGACAAAAGAGTTAAAGGAGAATCCGCCCTCCGGAAGCCCCGGCTGAACCGAAGCAGGCGCTGGGCTCCTTACCTCTTCCGGCTTCTCCTTCTCAAACCAAACCTTCCAGTCCTTCTCATTTTCGACGATCTGGTCGAGAATGTTGGCGAACTGGCCCAGCTTGCTGAGCTCGACCAAGTTGAGCCACGTGATGTCGAGGATCCAGCGGAAAGGCTTCGGCTGCACGGCTTTCAGGTCGAGGGACGCGCCTCCCTGGGTTGGAGAAGAGCAGTATTTTTGGGTTTGTTATGAGTGATTACAGTCACTCTTCGCGATTACAAATTATTTCATCTTCGGCACGTATCCTTATACGAAAGTGTACTTCTTACAAAGCTGAACACTTACTTTGATAAACTTCATGAACTCATCGTGAGAAATATGACCAGACTGCAAATCTATCTTCATGGCCAATAGCAGAGTGAACAGGAGCTTATGGCGTTCATAAAATCCGCGGCAGGCATTCCTCCAAACCTGAGCAGTCAGGAATTTAATGATGTTGATGATTCTGTTCTTGGGATTGTTGCTCTTCTCTGATCTGTAACATGAACGAAGTCCTTCAAAATACAGTACGGTAGATTTATTGGAACCTTTGAAAGGTTTCTGTATGATATCCGTTCCTGTTGTGGAAATGACGCTTATCAAACATGAAAGAACAAAATATCTACCAAAAGCGAAAAATATTGTTTGTATTGGTATTATCTTTTTCCATACATTATCTGCCAGAGGAAACAGGACCAAAATACTAGGGAAATACCAGATTCTTGTAAGAATCTTGTCGAAAGCTGTCTATGCGTATTAGCAACAGTCTATAGTTTACAACTTATTGATACAACAGTTATAAATAATAGTTATTGACTTCAATATTAGTAAAACAGTGTGGCAGATAGTGAACTAATTCAACAACAATACATTTCTGAACTTTTAATATCCTTCGTTCGCCTGTAAGAAGCTTGGCCGGGTGTATACCTTGTCATCGACATGTCGAAGAGGACGAGGAACTGCCTGAGGGAGGTCTGATACATGCATGACACGGCAGCCATGTCGGTGATGAGGAAGTAGAGGATGGAGCCGCGAGTGGCCACGGGACGGTACTCCTCGCGGGCGCCGTTGATCTTCCGCTCGGTCTCCGAGGCGATGTGCAGCTTCGTGCTCACGTCCTGGGCAGTCGCCTTGGTTTCCTGCAGCACGACGATCAGGTCCTCGTCGTCCACCAGTGAGCCCTGCGGTAAGGTTCTTCAACTGTATTTTTTGGCATGCAAGAATGCTGATTTGCAAAAAAGAAAAAAAAATGATTATTTCTTACTCACTTGTTTGTTGAATACACCAGGGGAAGAGAATATATTTTCAAATCAGCGATAGCCTACATTACTAATGGTGTGGCACTGACCTGTACTGAAGTGAGACGGTACAAAAGGTTATCTTCGAGTTCCTTTATTTTACGCTTATTTTCCATCACCTCCTCGATGAGCGCGACGCGTTCGTTTTCCAACTCCCTCTTCTCGGTCCTGATGACTCTACCTGCATGAGTACCGGCGATGTTCATTGATATTACCCCAAAATATCAGTGGAGACTACACAGAAATACAGCCACACTAAAACGGGAGATTTTGACTCACCTAAAAGCTGGTCCTCGAGGCCATGCACTGTGACGGTAAAGTCAATAATGGAGGTCTTGGCCGACACCTCGGGCGTGTAGGCCGGGTTGGAGAGTTTTGTGGTCATGTACAGCATGAATCCCGGCATGACGTCGCACTCTTTATCTCCGACGACGACCTAAAGGGGGATTTTACGTTTGACTTTTTCTTTGGCACAACAATAAAATATCCCAAACATTCAAAACTGAAATAAAAGGAAAGCCTCAGGGGAATAACCTTTAGTATGGATCCTGATTTGATGAAGTTCCTCTCCAAGAGATTGTCCAGGACGGGATCCAACTCCTCCTCCACGTCCTCAATCAGCAACGGGCGGCCGAGCGAGAGCGAGTCCTCCAGGTGGGTGCGGAAGTACTTGTGATTGAGAGATGTGATCTGCCGGCGCAGTTCGTGGATGGATAACACACTTTACCCTTGAATGTCGTTGCGTATCCACTGCAGTGATACGATATATATCTATAGCTCTTTCGGTTTAGAATATACACTTACCTGCAGCTCGTTCATAGCTTCCCTGTTCTTAATCCAGATCTTGCCCTGGCCTTGCGGGTCGATCAGTAATGGGTAACAAGATGCTTTGGTGACGATCAAGCCGTTCTGGATGCTGAGTTCGTCGTTGGGAAGTCCCTGGAGGTTCCACTCCGAAACCTGCAACAATATGATACGACGATATAGCGTCTAATATCTGCAGATCCCTTATCAAAAATGTTCAAGTATGTACTAAGTAAACACCTGATCATATGACTTACAGTTGCATTATCTACGAGCCACGTAGTGACGTCCAGTTCCTGTGTGTAGGGAACCTTCCGGGTGTCCATCATCTTGTACCACGTGATCATCATCTTGGTGCGGTACTCCTGGTTGAAGGGGCCCGCGTACGAGAGGAAGGCCGTGGTCACCAGGACGTCGCCCGCCAGCCTGCGTTTGGATGCCTTGCTTCACTCAGGCGTATCCGCTCAAAATTCTTTTACTATTTGCATATCTATATCTATACACACATACACACACACAAACACACCCACACAAACACAAACACACCCGCCCACACATACACACACAAACACACGCACTAACACACTCAGACACGCACTAACACACTCACACACACAGACACATACATACATATATAATATATATATATATATATATATATATATATATATATATATATACATATATATATATATATATATATATATAATATATATATATATATATATATATATATATATATATATGTAAAACAAAAGAATATAACTACATTTCTAAATATATGTATACAGAGGTATGTTTCAGCTCTTCAAAAGCAGAGCAGCCTTGGCCGCGTATGCATCAGTGACAGCGGAAGACTCACCGGCCCAGTTGCTGCCGCAGGGCCTTGCTCTGCTGCGTCCAGCGCACCTTCTCTCCTGCCAGGCCGTTGATCAGCGTCGCCGCCGCCTGCATCTTCCTACGGCACACGTTTGCGGCGTCGATTAGCTTCTGTTTCTCCGCCAGAGCACATTGGTACTGCCCGCGCACCATGTCCAACTCTCGCTGCTTGTCATCCAGCTCGGCCTGCGCCCGCTCCAGGTCCCCCATGGCGACGCGCAATCGCGCCTCCTGTAGCGCCAGGTTCGCCTGCCCGAGAGGAAACCAAAATGTTCGAAAACACGCACATTTAACGATGGCTTCCGTGATTCATTTGCCTGGTTCTGCGCACCACCTTCCACGGTCACCCACCTTTAGGGGCAGGACCTCCTTGTTGACTCCGAAGAAGACGGCCATAGCTCGGGTCCAAGACAGCAGGCCGGCCACGTCACCGCACACGCGGTTAGCGGTGTCCATGTCGTAGTCCTCCATATTGAAATAGGGCTCCAGAAGTTCCACCACCTCATCGTTGATGGTGTCCTTCGGGAAATTCTGCAGCGAAAGCAGGAATGTTGTGCTGGCCATCATCTGGAAAGGAGAAAATTCTTGAATAAATTAATTTACCAAAATCATCATATTGTGTATATCAGAGTTCTACTGGTATGGCAGTTCCTCTGTCCAAGGGGAACAGCAGATCCGCTTTGGCACCTTAAGGCTGTCGGGCCAAGAGGGCTTCGGGCACGGCGCCACGGAGTCCGGCTTGACGGGCTGCACGTGGCGCTGGAACAGCAGCAGGACACAGTCCATGATGCGCATGATGAGGTGCGGAGGCCGACCCAGCTTCCGGATCGTCGCTGAAAGTTTACCAGGGCTGTTAGTGTCTATGCATATATATATGCATTCATACATGCATATGCATATATATATATATATAATATATATATATATATATATATATATATATATATATATATAATATATATAATATATATATATATATATATATATATATATATATATATATATATACAACACACACACACACATACATATGCATATTCATATATATATATATATATATATATATATATATATATATATATATATATATATATAATATATATATACATATATATGTGTATATATATATATATGTAATTATTATATATATATTATATATATATATATATATAATATATATATATAATATATATATATATATATATAATATATAATATATATATATATATATAATATGCATACATATGTGTGTGTTTATATATAGATTCATATATATATGTGTGTGTGTGTGTGTGCATGTGTGTGTACGCGCGCGCTTGCATATGTATATGTGCACTTCACACGATATTAGTCATCTATTTCTGGTTTTCCCCGAGACGGAAGAGAGCTGACCAATATGCGCTGGCTTGATCGTGTTGAGCGCCGCCTCGGCCTCCTCCAGGGCCGGCCTCGCCGCCTCCAGCTTCTCCTCCGCGAGCGACTTGTCTGTGGCGATGTCGTCGACGAGCGCCTGGGCCTTGTCGCGGACCTTCTCCACCTCTTCCTTGATGCCCTCCGCCTCCTCCGCTCGCTTGGTCACCTCCACCAGGATCTGTCGAACGGACCTTGTGCGGTTTACACTCTCACGGATAACCCGAGTTTGAAATCATAAGCAGACCCACGCCTGGCCGCACCAGGGACCCGCCCGCCCCTTCGACTTCCAAGCCCCTCCCCTGCTGTGGCCTCAAGCCCGGTGCCAGCCGGCGGCGTCCTCATGCTGACCTTCTCGGCCTTCTTCGAAGCGACGGCCAGCTCGTCCTCCATGACGCACAGCTCCTCCCGAAGTCTCTTGACGGCCACCGAAGCCTCCTGCAGCTTGTCGAGGCCGGAGGTCATCCTGTTGGCCGACTCGCCGATCTCCTCGCGCTTCGAGTTGTAGATCTTCTTGTAGATGCTGATGAACGACAGGAACGACTTGGGCGTGACGTGTGCCGCTCGACGGTACCTGCGGGTGCAAAGAACTTCGTTTAGCGTCCGTTTCTCTACTTGGTGAATAAATCGACAGACAGATGTGTGTGTTTGTGTGTATGTGTGTGCATATACATATGTACATACATACATGCATGCATACACACACACACACACACAGACACACACATACACGCACACATATATGTATATCACACACATATACATACATATACATATATACATACACATACACACACACACGCACACGCACACACATACACACACGCACATACGCACACACCACACACACACAACACACACACACACACACACACACACACACACACACACACACACAACACACACATATATATATATATATATATATATATATATATATATATATATATATATGTATATATATATATATATATATATATATATATATATAAGTATATATATATATATATATATATATATATATATAATATATATATATATAAGTATATATACATTCATATATACATATGTATATGCCAATACATATCCATCCATATAAATGTCATTATTCATACATTATCGGCTCAGTAAATTGCTACAAAATATCTGCATCTAACAAACGCACCAAGAGCTGCTTGTCATTACCTTTGGAAGTACTCCGTGCATAACTGAGACACGTTGTCGTGAATGGTTCCCATGCCTTTGACCAAGCTCGTCTTGACCTCTTTGGTGCTAATGATCTCATAAGCCTTGAGGAAGTGCGACGCCACCGCCACCAGCGCCTCCTTCGGCCACGGCTGGAACCAGTCGATAGTGCAGCCGCTAATCAGGCCCGGGAACTTCATGGCGCGGTTCCTGAACTTCTCGCCGACCTTGAATGCGACATGTCACGGAATTTAATAATCCAAGAATGTTTTCAAAAGAAGATAATGATACTTTTTCATAACCCTCTGAAATGATACACACACACACATATATATAAAATCCTAGTAGCAGAAATACAACTGAAGCTACCTGATGACAAAACTCAAGGCACAGTCCACCGGACAGACAAGCAGACGTGATTTGTGAGCAGCAAATTTCCAAAGGAAGCAACGAGAAGGCGCTAGGCTGCGCGGACTGACCGGCGAGAAGCAGAGAACGACGTGCAGGTTGTGGCGCGTGCGGGTGAGGAAGTAGTCCATGACGTTCTCGGGCGTGGGCGGCCGCCGCGGGTGCTCGCGCTTCATCACGGGAATCAGCTCGCTCACGATCTCGCCCTGCTCGTCGCGGTTGAACAGGTTGCTCACCATACCTGGGGACGGCCGCTCGCGTCAGGACTTTTGAATCAGGGATGTATTCGCTATTAAGACAATGGAATGTTGATGGAACTGCTGTATTTAGGGAAAATGCAGTCATATCAGAGATGGACAAATAACTAAATGTTTAGATTCGTTACTTCGGAAATTGTATTAGAGGCAAAGAACACCACTCAAGATAGCGAAAAAACTACCTGATGACAAAACGTTGTTTAGGTATTCCAGGAAAGCCTCCTCCTTCACCTCCTGGTCTGTGAAGATAAAGGTTGTACCTTTCCCTTGAATTCCACACGTTCTGTACAACACTTTCAGGTCTTCCAATAGGTTAGCAGTGTTGTATGACCTTTAATTGATAAACGAATTCAATAAGGTTCAACCAAAAGCTGTGTACACGTTTCTTTAAACCACCTACTAACTACCATTTTTTTTATAACTGATTTCATTCACCCTCTTATTTTTCTCATCCACGAACGAGCAGATGGACCCACCTGGTGAGCGTGATCTGGAAGGTCTTGTACCCGGCGATAAAGGAGGCCAGTTTGGTGAGGGACTGCTTGCCAGACCCGCCCACGCCCACAAGGAGAGCGTTGCCGCCTGGATTTCGAATGATCCGGGAGATCTGCAGAGATGTATCAGGAACGCTTCACAAAATGCTTTAGAAAATGATCTATTGCGACCTTCGCAATCCCGGTTTCAAGTATTTGAAAAAAGAAGGAAATGGAACATTACCCTCGTGAGATGGATCATTGCATCTTTAAAGAACACGAGGTCCATGCCGGTGCCGCGAACCATCTCGTTGTACTGAGCTAGGAACATCTGAAGGCGCTCCTCCAGGGCGGTGAAGGACGGGATGGGTTCATACACCTTCGGCATCTCCATGTCCAGGTCTTCGCCCTCGTCTCCTGTTGGCTCAGGGGCATCTCTGGAAGTAGAGGCAACATGGTGTTACATAAGGATATATGCATTCGTTGATCTATCTATATGTATATGGCTGTTGATAAACCAGGACTAATGCGAAGGGTAGAGGGGTAACCTGAGGAAGTCCACAAAGTTTTCGGAGCGAGTTATGGCATCCGTCGCGCGGTGGCCCAACTCCTCTTTTGTTACCGTCACCAGCGAATCCTCGAACCAGGTCACGTCCTTTGGCGTGGTGAACCTGCAGGGGTATTTGGAACAATGACCCACACTTAGATCTAACGAAGTATTGGCGACATAGGTTATATGAAATCGTGACTACTAACGCTCTTATGCCTCTGCAGGACGAGCGCCAATTAAATCATACCTGTCAGAAATGACTCTGCAGCATTCGTGGCGCCACAATGCCAAGAGGGCGTCGCCGGACGTGATCACATTGGGTGCTGCGCCCAGCATTCCTTCCCAGATGCGCGACAAATCTCGGAGGTTGAATACGTAGTGGAACTTCGCGGGCGTCGGAAGCAGCTTGCACTGGATCGAAAAATGACAAGGATTAGATCCATGGCAATATTCAGGGATTTCCCCTACTGGAATCTCGGACTATAATTTCATGATCGACATCCTTGTGTCAACAGTGACACGCAAGTTCCTCCAGTGGAAAAATGCTGACCTTGGTGTGTGCCCACAGCTTCCTAGTGAGTGGAATGAGTCTCTCCAGCATGTCCCTAACTTCCTGGTTGAAGCCTCTCTTACTGCTGAAGTGCCCTCGGGCGATCACTCCGAAGATCTTATCAATGGAGTTCTCCGACGGGATGGTGGAGTTGAAGATGCAAAAGTGGCGCTTCAGGCGCGCCGGTATGTCGTTGCGACCGCCACCTGAAGAAATAGCATACTCATTTTATATGGATTTTTTTTTATTTTTATTTGTTATTTTTTGACAATACCACATTTACCATTCATGTGCAGATCTGCTCTTTTCCATCACATACCCGGATGCCCCATGGCTGCCAGGAACTGGATGTCAACTACGTGAATAAAGTCCCCAGGTTTCTCAAGGCTATAGAATCCACCCATTTCCATAGTCTGGCGCACGATTTCATTCGTTGGCTGAAATCATGAACTTTTTGCATTTTTAAGTGAATTGAAAACAGTACCTACATGTATTGCTAAATACATTTATAAAATATACACAAAATCGCCTTCCTCCTCCTCAACTGACCACATGAACTGTAGCACTACTTACCCGCGCGGATTAAGCCCAAGCCAGTCCTCACCTGATCGCCCCAGTCGTTGATGTGCGGCATGTTGAGGTCGTCGATGAAGACTGTCATGGTTTTCCCGGCAGGAGGACCGAACGTGCTGCCCATCCTTTTGTCGATGTAACTTTCGATGGTGCGCTGGTGGGTGTTAACGAACAAGATAAACCATTACATTGCTTTATAATCCTTAGCTTCCTAGTGTCACGCGATGACATTGTAACAGCATAACACTTGCCACATAGTGCTGCGGCAAAATCAGTGCAGCTAAAATATATAGGGCAGTCAATAACTAAGTAATGGTAGGATATAATCAAGGTTCAGTTCAGGTCGCAGCATACCTGGAAATATAGAGGCGTGGAGGCTGACGAGAAGTTGAAGTTGCGATAAAGATGATCCTCAGGGTTATACTTCTTCATGAAGGCATTAATGGTGACTGTCTTGGCAGACCCCGGCTCGCCTATCAGCAGCACACCCTGTGCAAAAAGTTACATAGTCTGGACACAGGACAATGATTTTGTCTGGAGTAAAATCCTTGAATCACAGATATTCTGGTAAGACACTACTTATTGAAATTTTATTATAAGAAAAAACGAGGTAAAAATTGAATTACAAACGAAATTCACTGTTCACCGCTCACCTTCCCTTGCTGCGCCACCGTGTGGATGAGGAAGTCCATTCGCACATTGTCCACATTTGGCACAAGAATGGAGTTGTAATCCGGAGTGCCTGTGTCTGGGTATACATACTCTGATACGCGCGTTCCCCAGTGTTGCCACCAACCTGAAGTACCATGCCCATGGTAGATGTAATTTAAGGAAATGTTTGTAATATATGTAAATAAAATAGATAGACATATACAATTAGATTGTAATCGTACACACGTTATTAACCACAAATATAGATATAATTAAAAAGTTAAACACTCAAATAAGCAAAAGTAGCTGTGTTGTACATCTGGCCGCGGCCGTGTTGGAAACGCACCATTCTCGTCCACGCGGTAGTCGAACATGGAATCATCTGCTCCCCCTTGAGGTGGAAGGTCAAGGTCACTGCAATTACCTCGCATGTAATGCTCCATCTTGGCACGGTCGGCCAGCTCCATGAAGCAGCCCAGACTCCACATCATTGTGAACACATAGAGGCGCTGAATGTGCTCCTGGACCGTGGCCTGGTGCGTGGGCTGAACCAAGGAAGAAAAAGAAGGGAAAAAATGAGCCTGTTTATTTACTTAAAGATTTATTAAAGGTAACTGTGTCATAAGACTAATAATGTAATGGACAGAGATGTCTGAGCTTGTTTGGGGTGATGTAGAGATGCCTCACAACAGTTTTAATTCACTTGTCTAAAAAATGGTTAAAACGACAAAATATCAGTCTTTCTAAATATTAATACATAAATGAATATTGGAAATTTCAATGTAAGAGGACTGCGGTGCAGCAACTAGAAAGGTACTGCATATGACTGAAATAATCGACACTGCTTGATCAAGATCAAGACCAGCTGTTGCCGAGGCATGGACGAGATGTAATACCTGGACCTCCTCCGTGTCTGGGTCGGGCTCCCGGCGCTTGTTCTGCTGCTGTTGCTGCTCCTCCGGCAGCAGGCCCTCCATGACTCGCGTGGCCTGCGGCGGGAGCAAAGGTCACGCTGGAAATGGAGGCGGGCATGGCGTCGAGACGGCTCCGGCCGCCATGCCTTCAGGCATTGCTTTCCTTTCATTCAGTGTATAGCCATTTGATTAGGGCGATTATACTCATTAACATTACCATAAAGATCATAATTTGAACAAAGAAGTGGAAAGTTCGAGATCGGAATGATCAATAAAGATGACTGTCACTTTGAAATTCACAGGCAAAAATTAATTTCATGCAGTTATAAAGCTATATAATCTTATAGATGTTTGGTTCTGATAAACTTCGTAACTTCACGTGTGTCTTTGTGTGTACGTGTGTGTGTAAGTTCTACGTGTATACAAACAAACACGTTTATGTGACTGTGAGTGTGGGTGTGTGTGAATGTGAACGTTGATGTGTGAAATATATATATAAATATATATATATATATATATATATATATATATATATATATATATATATATATATGTGTGTGTGTGTGCATGTGTGTGTGTGTGTGTGTGTTGTGTGTGTGTGTGTGTGTGTGTGTGTGTGTGTGTGTGTGTGTGTGTGTGTGTGTGTGTGTGTGTGTGTTGTGTGTCTAGCCACTTAAATACACTAAACATGTTACGCAGTACGCAACTTGGCACAGAGATAAACTCCAACTGATAATTAGACCGAGATGAAAAAAAAAAAAACTGATTTCCACATCAGATCGATATTTTAATCAAAATAAAAAAATGTGTAGCATCGTTATGTAAATCAGTCACTATATCAGTTGGATATCAACATGGCATATTTTTCTAACTAATATTTATTTATCTACTACGATTATACGTCAACACAAGACGACATCTGCGTGATCCATGCGGTGATGTTTAATCATGAAGGCTACAATATTATATCTGCATTTATTTCGCCAAGGTTTAGATGACGACGCCGCCACTTGTTACAACGTGTACTTGCTTAATGCTAACTGTACCAGGTTCAGCTCACGCTCACGCCGCTATGCAAAGACAACGTGGGACCTTCTCTGAGTCTCCTACTTTGTGACTAGATATGATTTGTTTCATTGTTTGACACAGCACTATGCAATGCATTCAGTGTTTGGATCAGAAGTTTGCATTGGAAAGTACTTTTTATTACGTGTACCTCATGGGAGAGGGTGAACCGTAGAGCAGTTGTACACTACCGTATGTGGTGCCGGCTGTACATATTAGTATACTTCCGACATCACCTGTAATGTTTAAGTTTCGGGATATTATTTTACTATTTATGGTACTTGTTTACAGCAATAGTTTAAAATTCATTCCCAAAGCTGTCCGCCAAGACCCAGCTGCTCAACTGAACCTATCAGTGAACTTTGAAAGAAAGAAAGAAAAAAATAGGTCTGACATTAAGTGATTTTACGCATTTTAGCGGCAGTAAAGACGTGGATCGTGGCAGGACAGACGGTTTACATGGCGTGGGAGTGTTGTGCTGCGAGAGAAAGTGAGAACATGGCGACATCAGGCAGGGGCAGCACCGGAAGAGCCTCATCCTCTGGCAAGGATCTGGGCGTTTCCACGGGCGTCTGCGTGTGGGAGGACTCGTCGGGGGTATGGCCTCCGTGGGTGCCGCCTCCCCATGCGCTAGAACGACCACGTCGACGGGGCAGACAGTCGTCAGCTGCGTCTTCTCCCTCCGGCAGTTGGCCCTCCAGGAGGGTTATGGCCTGGCAGCAGCGGCGATAACATCAACAACACTTTTAAAGACAACACGACCTATCTAACTGAAGACATGAGCACATATCTGGATGCGGAGTTGCAGCGGGATAACGCTGCGGGACAAATGAGGGTGTGGATGTCCTCTCGCCCACACGGTCCTTCCGCCTATTAGTCTTGTGACACAGATGTAAGAAAGTTCGGCTGCTTCCAAAAACAGTTCTACATATAGTGCGCACATTACAAAGCTAAGCCTTACATTGTCTACGGGGGTAAAGAAAAAAATCACACATCATAGCCAGTACGTTAGCATTACAGCAACACTAACTACCGCGGGCCAGCTCAACAGACTATCAACTTACCAGTAGAGATATTTCATACCACACTGCAATGGGAACATCTACTGGCAAGAACACTATATGCCTACGCATCAACAATTACAGGTGACAACAAGTATCGCAGAGCAGCCAATAGTTAACACCCACAACAATCACAGTCACAACATGAGCACAGGATTCTGCTGATCAGTGCATAGACATGAAGCACACTTCCACCTAAGATAGAAAACACAGCATGTAGATTGCACGCAAGATCTTTTTGCATCACTGAGCTGGAGTCGTGAGGTGTCTAAATTGCCAATTTTCTGCTTTAGACATTGTGGCAATTGATTATTTACTGTTTCCATCCACAACTACGGCATGTCGCATGTAAATTTTATCATAAACACAGACTTCACAGACGCAGTTACATACTTTCCTACAGGGGACATGCACTATATATACCTTCTTACCTACTATCTATGATAATAGCAGAGAGTTCCTACTAGTTCTAAGATAACATTATATCAGGGGAGAGCATGGCATAACCGCTCTTGTCTTTACATATTTTACCGATATACTGCTTCAAGAATGGATGTACAACAAACCCATTCTAATTTGTTAGTTTGCCTTGTTAGACACCGTAAACACGCGTATAACAAATTAGAGAACAGAATATCAGTCTTATAGGCAAAGTAAGTTGGATCATCATCCCCATTCGCGATTCCAAGGGACACAATGCACTGTGAGATCAACGGGTGTTTCTAAGTCGTTTGAGGGTTTATTTGTACTTTCACCATTGCACGGCCTAATGCATGTCATCTTTAATTCATGCACGTGAGCGATGGTCATAATGTCTGATATCTTTATGCAGCTAAAGTAACCTTGCTCATCAATCACTAGGAAAAAGACATAACCTATTCCTCACTATCATTAAACATGCTTAGACGAACTATAAAAAGGAGACATTTTAATTTCACAGATTATTTAATCTGATGTGGAACACATGTGCTTCCATGCCGTGCCAGGAGTTGAGAGGCAGTGAACAACATGCAGCTTTCTGTCGTATGGAATGTGCAGCTGAAGGGCAACACCTGTATATTTTAACCTGTTTATATATGACAATGTTACGCTGCTATGAAAAAAAAAAAATCACTGACTACAGATTTATGTGGTCTAGCATGTTCAAATAAAGATGGTGGCTCTTTTTCCCCTGCCCTCTCTCTCTCTGTCTATCTATTTCTATCTACATCTATCTGCTAGTCAATCTGTATATCAGTCTACCTATGTCTATCTATCAGTCTATTTATCTATTTATCTATCCATTTATACAAACACTCATATCTATCTATCTAAACACACACGCTTATATATTTATATGTCATATATCACTCAGAGACTCTGAGTGGAGCAGGTGACAATCTCCAAGGCAAGGTGCATTGCATTCAAAGACACAAAGTGCAGGCATCCTGATGATGGCAGAAAGCGGAGGCAATGGCATGCAGCTTGCATATGGAAAACACAAGTAAGGATTGACGATCATTTAGAAATCATGTAATGACGTCACAAAATTCTGTCGAAAGTCAAAAACTCAGTTAACTATACTATGCAAAATATCACTTAAAATATACCAAAATATTTACATTAATCTTACAAAATGGCGACGAAGTGTGGGCATCACACCACGTTGCGGATCTGAAATGTCACTAAGAAAAGCTAGAGTGAGTTTTGGCCTCAGCGGCGTTTTATATTTACATGGGAACCACTTGGTTTAGCTCACAGACAAAGGAATCCATTCGTTTTATTAAGTCCGTATCTCTCACTCTGAGATCAGTTATCAGAAAATAGTAGATTTTGAAATAGATCCGCACGCGTTTCCAAATTCTTTTCTCCAATATTGCTTTTGCTTTCAGGAACTGATTCTTTGTGTTGGGGAACGTTGTGGATTTCTCATTTTACCCTAAGCTTGACCAAAGCCTTGTGTGAAGGTATCTAGACGTGGATGGGGCGGGGATCTGCTGTACATCCAAGGCAATTAATTGTAAGCGTCGCATTATTCCATTTGTGAGAATCAAACTGCTGTAACTGAGGCAAAATAATTTTAGGAAACTGGGGCCGACGGGTCTGGCGGCTGCTCCTTTGGGCGCTTAAGCGGGACCTTCCGTTTAAGTTTTCGCTTTCGAGAAACAATAGCGGGAACTGATTCTGGATTTCCTTCAAACCTGTATTGTACAAACCCAATATTATGCTCAAATAAAGTCAAGAAATCATTAAATAAATCGCCACATCTGAAAATAACAATACAAAATGTTAGCAGCACACACCTGTGTGATGACATTGACCTGGAGGATGGGGATGCAGAGCCGCAGGTTTTGCTTGCACCACGTGAACAGCGACAAGAAGTTCTTAGCGAAGAGGTCACTGATAATTGGTTGCTCGTAGTGGGGTCGCGTCCTTAACCACGCCTGCAGGAGGGGCTGCCAGTCTAGTCCAGACGAACTCATATACACCTGCACGAATGTGAAACAGTTGAAGGTCCTTTTCGTTCAATCAAAATATAGGAACATCTTAAGAAAGATTCTATGGACTAGCTGAGTTGTGTGACTTTTTCTCTCTGGTGGGGGAATAGTGATCTTCTGATATGACTTGTCAATGACATTCATAATACACAGATTCAGACGATGTACAGATCGGAAGTGGGAGTTTCTTAACCACACACCATCCCGTTCCTGGACACCGTCGCAGAGAGAAGCGTTGTCAATGTTGGCCGGTTCGAAGATGACTTTGCAGCAGGGAGACATCGGGATTCGGTCTCCGTTGGCCAGCGTCAGCGTCCGGTTGTCGTCCAGCACAGAGTTGAGGTTCTCAATCCAGATGGCGTCGACGGGGCCGTCCAACACCAGCCAGATATGCTCGCCTGAAGTCATTGTAGTATATTAGAGTAATATATTAGCCAAAATATATGAACAGAATGGGTGATAAGATAAAGATTTAGAGTATTCAATCTATAATAACATATCAAATGCACTCATATGCTTCCATTTTAATTCACACTACAGCTAGAGGACTTCTAGTTGTTCACTTAACGAAGTTGGAATTAAATCCGGAATTCATATCATTCCTCCCTCCTATTTATTTCCAATAACACGAGATTTAATTCTCCTCAGCCGGAATATGAATGTTTGTGAATCTGAACGTCACCTTTCTTCGCCTTGAGCGTCTTCCTCCAGAGCGTTGAGAAGATGCCGTCCGTCCAGTCGTTGGTGGCCACGTCCAGCCGCCCGAACATCTGCGCGGACGTGATGGCCTTCGGGTTCATGCGCATCTCCCTGTGGAACCATGAGGCCATTGGCACACAGATGGCGCTGGCTAGACACTGGTAAAGCTAAGTGCAAGTAAATGCCTGGTGAGGACAATGGCAAGAATGGGGATCATCCAAAATTAGCTATTTGGTTTGGAAAAAAAGACAGTACTGTAGCATGGCAACGATGTTAAACTCAATATTCCTATCGTTCTTAAAAATATCTTATATGATACAGGAAATTTTGTGTTGTTAACAAAATAGTACCACAAAGATTTCTACCACCCTTGTACATATCATCAGGCACCATCATCATAGTACGACTAAGCACTGCCGACCCCACCTGTGTGGCTGCCCCATCTTCGTGAGGGCCTTCATGAGGACCTGGATGCACGTCGTCTTTCCGGCTCCGCTGGGCCCGAGCGTCATCATGCCGTGCCTGACCCGCTGGGTCTCGTACAGCTACGAGGAAGTGTCAAGGATGACTTTTGCTGCTGTTTTACTCTGTCTCGTCCTTAATGCAATTTGTTGCCAGTCTCATATAAGCATTATAATTATCTTTATATAATGTTTAGGACATGAAAAAAACATATATTTCTCATGAAACGTACAGTAAACTACATTTACAGAATTAATAATTTGTGTATTTGCATGTAAGCTTACATCGTTGATCAATGCTTCTTCTTCATTTTGCCTTAAAAAGTTCAACATAATATGCAACCTGGACCCACCTGAATGAGCTTCAGCTGCCAGGGTGCATGCTGGATGAGGCCGAGTTCGACCACGATCTCAGCGATATTGTTGGTGAGATGGTTGTTGTAGCCTTTTTCTTGGGCCATATTGGGGAACAGATCGTCGATGAGGGACATGAAGAGCGGTTCGTCCTCGTCTGCCAAAAGAAAACAATGTTATTTAACTGGATTTTATAAGTAGCGGTCCTATATCACAAAGAGTGAATCAGTATTCGCATGCTGTTTCGTTGTCTTGATCTACATTAAATAACATTAGACAGAACTATACTCATATGAGCATCTGCTCAATATACTCGCACCATCACTATCATACTAAATACTATAAGAGCTATGTGGGTATAAACACAGCATAGCTTGCACTCACCAACGAGCTTCGAGAGATTCATGTCCCTGAGGACCCGCATAACGATGGTCGACTCCGAGTCCTTGGCATTGGCCCTCTTCGCGGCGCCCAGGGTTCGCAGCACAGACAGAATGTTGCGCAGGCCGAAGTCGTAGTGAACCTACACAGAGGAGACGGGGATAGTCGTCGCAGCAGTAATAGCGAAAGAAGATGAAAGGGAGGAACAAGAGATGTAAATAATTGGATACATTCAAGAATTTCTGAATATCCTTGCTTTCAATAAAAATACATAGAGGAAAATAGAAGGAAACGTTTCGTCTTGAAATATATGGGCAGAATATTGAATGCTTGAAATAAAACAGGTTCGTATGGAAGTTTACCCCTCAGACATGGAAAAAATTACCTGTTTAGTAAGCTGCTCCTCGCAGAGCTTGTACAGCGTGAAGAACTTGCGCGCCAGAGTGATGTTCTCCAGGAAACCGCAAGACGCCAGCTTGACCCTGATGATAATTTGGCGATCTGGCACCATCATCGCCACGTTTCGGAACTGGATCTTCAGATTCTCGGGCAGTTCTTGGCGGCCGTGGTAGCCCAGATTCTAGAGGCGCGCGGTGTGGAAGCAGCAGCGTGACGCGGGCAAGATATGGAGGAGTGATGGGGAGGGTAAGTATATACACACAGATAAACAAGGAAGGTTAAGTGAGAGGCGCCAGCATGCAGCAGCCCCTACGCAGAGGGTCGCCGGTATGCATGCCTCACGGGACCCTCTGGAAAAATAACATCCTGTAATGAAAGAGTTCTCTATGCAGAAAAAAATCCATCGCGAAAAATCACTCGAACGACAGTGTGTATGTACAGTACAGGGATGAAAATATACATGTTCAGGTAAAAAGCACCTTTTGGACCCTAAAAATTGCCAGTAAGCAGAACGACCAAGGGTCTGCTCATACCAGAAAGCAAGGACATGAAATTAGCCGGGAGTGAATGACGCATGCGTGACATGGAGTCGAAGTGAGGAAATAGATTTCTTCATAAATCATGACGGTATACTTCAGTGCAGGATGTTTTAGAATCTATAAAAAGCTGCGCTCTTTTTCAGTGCCGATCGAACCTCGACCGATTTATTTTTTCTTATGTTACATCATCAATAAACTTTCCTTGACAACTTTTCGGTGACATGCAAATGTGATCATCAGGAACTGTTGTTCACACCGGGCTGGCGGAGGTCAAACAAGCGCATTATCTTTTTATATGAAAATTTCAGACCCGGAACTTCAGATCCAGTTTTGGCAATGTCGGTGAAAATATGATACTAGAGTACTGTGTGATTCAGTATAGTTGCAGAAGTGGTGTGTAGTTGTGGAGTGACGCATCTCTGGACTATCGTGATGTAGTGTTTAGTGTTTTATTTCTGGTGTGCTGAGGTAGTTCATTCAGTTGTGGAAGCGCAGTTCGGAAAAAGTGTTGTGATTTGATGCTCTAAGCTGTACACCCATATCCGCACCCACACACAGGCACACCCAATACAAACGCATTCTAGAATCAGTGTACAGGCTGCTCAAATTAATGATAAGTGTTTTCGGCCAAGCAACGGTTTCTGTGAAAGAGATAGAGGTAAGACCATAGGAAATTAGTGGCATTGCAACATGTTAAGTGAAGCCAGGCACTTTACCTGTTTATTGCCGTCTTTGGCCACCTGCCAGGTGAGAGAGAGAAATTTAAGAGGGCACGATGACAGGGACGTCACGTGCAGTGACTGTCTTCACAGACTTTATCAGCATCGTATGTTCTCGCAAAGAAAGTCAAATATCCTACAAGTTGCAACTGCCTTAAGTTATATTTTTCTTGTACGAGCCTTTTAGCCTGACCTCGCGACATTTTAGTTCAGGATTCTCTTGACAAACAAGCAAAATAGTCGCTAAAACTGTTTATAAACTATCGCTTTTGAGGTTGTCCATATAGTAAAAGAAGTTATTTCATATACTTTTCGGCTGTTCCTGTTTTCAGAGGAAGAACCATGTAAATTGAACGAGTAACAAATTCAAATGATACAGAGTTATAAGATTACACTTGCAAAGGAACATTTTAAGTTCTTGTAAAGACCAGAGTATTAACACATTTACTTGAAACCTCTTTGATGATAAATAAAGTAGGCTTACATTAACATATTTACTTGAAACATCTTTGATGATAAATAAAGTAGGCTTACATTGCATGGCACTAGTGGCAAGCAAAGATCGGTGTTACTTCGACTAAAGGCAGAATTCACAAAAATAAATACAGGGCTACTGGGGATAGAGCGGAACAAACAGCTTCAGTTAGAACGAAAAAAGTTAGAGTGAGCAGTATTGGAGGGATTAGTTTTAGAGCGATCAGCACAAGTCTGGGTGAACAGTGTTGGACCGGAGTGGACAGTGTAAGTAAGAACGCATTGCATGGTAAAGTGGACAGTGTATATAAGAGTTTGGATGAAAATGAGAATGGGTGCGCAACTACGGATGAAAGACCGTATGATTATGTATATAATATGGATGATTTTACTAAGAGAGAAAGTGTTGTAAGTGAAAGGAATAGGACAGAT